CTATGCACACGGACAGTGAAAACAACCCTTCGTGTTTCAAGCACTTGATTGGCTTATATTAAACTCATGAAAAATTTTCAAGCGTAGGGAAAACCTACGAACTAGGAAAACAATTAGTGCACGGCCATTTTTGTATTTTTTTTTCGAGTGCAATTTTTTTTCGTCCCTTTTGAAAAAAATTTTCATCCCCATCTTCCAATAACTTCCATTCTGTGTCGTCCAATCAAATAGCTAGTTTTGAGTTCGTTATAATTGGTCGTTCATTTCTTCAAATCGATATAAAATATCAGGACATGAAGACAGAGCACATTTTCTTACAATTATGGACGGTAGTAACTTGCGAAGTGTAAGCTCCATCGTTCCTCACGTTGTCACAGAAACCGATAACCTGTTCGTTCTTGAGCACATTGTATCTCGTAGCGTTCCAATCTTTTGAAGCGTTGAAGAGCGTCATTAGAACGTATGAAAGAGCCACGTACTGCCATTATGTGGTGAGGTATTCTCATTTCCATAGAGATCGGAAGCCGTATATTAAGTTCGTATGTTGGAGAAATGGCCGTAGAACACCTAGCGGTTCCTCACAGCCGAGTAGACGAACGAGGTAATTTGATTAGTGTTATTATAATTTTTCATTAAGGACTACCGTGAACACTCAATGTCTTTCCTTCATATTTTGTAAGTTATCAACTATCAAAATAACCTCAATATGGATGCAACGTTAAGCAGTGACGAGGGAGAAATCGTTTCGACGAACTCAGAGGAGTTCACTGAACGAGATGACGACAATGAAGAAAACGCATATGACAACAGACCTTGTGATATTTGCAATCTTGCGCAACCGCCACATGAAACTGTTAATGGAATTGCCTGGATTTTTTGTCCATGCGAAGCAATGATTCATTTGTTTTGTGCCTACGACCCATCACCACACGTTCATGGAATCCACTGTCCCATGTGCGACGCTATAACGGAATCATAGCAAGTCTTTCGTTCATGAAATTCGGAATTGTTAAGAGAACGAGTAAAGGCCCTTTTCAGGGCCACCCACAATTTGATTTAAATTCTTTTGTTTCAATTTCTTATTTCCATACCAAAGGTCAAGTGGTGAAACCATCAATATTCATTTAAGATTAGTAGTCATTATGTGATTATCGTCCACGTATTCGTAAACGCTTTTTAAGCTTTATCAAATATACGGTTTAAGTAAACGATTTCGTATAGGAAATGTCATCTAATGAACATTCATCTGTTTAAGAATAGTGCATGCAAAACTGGTTCAGAATGTTTCAGTGTTTTGTCAAATAGTTACAATAGGCGAATGTAGTACTACCAGTTCACTAGTACAACGACATCATTTCTATAGGAAAGGTCAACTGAACCAACAATGATGAATTCTAATTAAGCCTTAGTGATTAAGCAATATAATCAATCAATTGAGATTTATAGAAATTTCGTGGATTAGATCATTTGAAGAGGATTTTTGAAAAAAATTTATAACTGGTTTTAATGGTTGATGATAGTAATAACTGACGTTGAAAGGTGGTCGAATTTTCAATACACAATTAGTAAAGAAATCATTCATCGAAGTATTTCCATTAGTTTTTTTCTTAACACATCTTATGTTATTTTATTAAACGTTATATGCGTAGCAACTAATCCATAAATCATCATAATAAAATAATGAATAGGGCATGCATAAATCACGCTAATCGTTAATGATCGGTGAATGAAGCAAAATAGTAATAACTTCACTCAGAAAATAGCAAACAATATTTATGTGATTGGGTTCTTTTCCAAACAGTAATTCTTAGTATAAAAGAATTGTCTAGGTTCGCCGGAAAAATGGTGTCATAAATAAATAGAAGATTGTCCATTGTGTTATTTTGCTAATCCATTAAAAGTGTTACTTGTTTTTACCTGTACATTCTTTGTAGTTGAGTAGTTTAAAATTATGACCAAAAATACTTTGTCTATGTAAGTAGTCATGTGATGAATTGATTATTGTGCTCGTCAATTGGGCTTATCAATTTTTGTCACGTAATGTCAACAGCATATTTACAGTTTATAAATCTCCATAGAATATTCTATATTGTTGAATAACAATTTTTGACAGGTATTTGAAATATTCTTATTACATTAAGTATAAAAGAACAAGCCTACGTCTGAGGAAATAAGTGTCTCTCTCAATTACACAGTTTAATATGAACAAAGTGATACATTTATACGTTTTATAAAATGTCTTCATTATAAGTGAATTGAAGATAGAGCACTATGTTTCTATATAGTGAAATTGAAAATTTTGAAGTTTGGTAAATAAATATAGATTCATATTTATTACAATGACATTAAACAAGCGTATACCCAAATGTCATCTAATACAAATCACTTCAATTCACTTATAATAAAGACATTTTATAAAACGTATAAATGTACCACTTTGTTCTTATTAAGCTGTGTAATTGAGAGAGACACTTATTTCCTCAGACGTAGGCTTGTTCTTTTATACTTAATGTAACTAATATTTCAAATACCTCATTCAAACGCATTAAAAAGAAAAAAAGAGTGAACATTATTCAGTTGTCAATTCATGAACTGCTAACATCTAACTGGAAATCATTCATTGACAGGATGAATTATCTTCAACTTCTATTAAATCGTAATATGTGGCAAAAATTGTGATGTAATCACAATTTGAGAACCCTGTTTTAATGATCTACAAGATGATTGTTCATTATCATTATAAAATGTCAAGATTGATGTAGCAATAACAAAAGAAAACTTGTTGAAATACTTTGGACTAAGTATTCTATATTGTAACATAAAAAACAATACTGAACAAAAACCATTAAGAATCATGGGAATAATCACCGTTTTTTTGTTTTTGCTTTCAAATGTCATCTACTTAACATCAAATAGAAACTATTCCCTAATTACGTAATACTTTTATTCTATTTCTCTATTTCACTCATTGATATTATCTCGTTGAAAATCAATATTTACTCAACATATAAAAAAATAGCTGTAACAAAATGTATCAAAGAGAAATAATGAAAATAACCGTTTCATTGAATGATCTATAAATATTAACTAGTAATAATCTATGTTACTTATATCGACTGACATAAGTAGTTTGTAACACAAATTAGAAGAGGAATGTATGTCAGCAGAAGGGGCGAGACTATGGATGAACCAATCAGATTTACGATAATAGGTCTTAGATTTTGGCGCGGAATTCATTCACTTATTTGGCTGAATAGAGTCTTTGTATTATAGCTGATGTTAGTTCGTGATGAAAACCCTAAGTCTAATTCCTAACACTAACCATCAAATGTAAGTAGGTAAACACTCTAAAAATCATTTCAGCGTTGCCCAAAGGTCGTCCATACATTATAGCCTCACCGCTGAAGGCTGAGAAAGTCAACTTGAAGAAAACAGAAAAGGGAAATAGAAATGAATTGTGAATTAGAAGAATCATACAGAATATGAAAGACAATTATTAGAAGATTTACAAATGAAGTATTCAGTGTATAGTTCTTATATTTTTTTGAAGATATTCTGTAATTTTGTATGAACTCATAAATTGATCATCGTCATTTAGTCTTCATTCACGACAATATTACTAGGAAAATGTCAACTGAAATACTGACCATATACATATAGAACACTCGTGGACGTATATACATGAATGTGTGAAAATGAAACAATTTCTAAGAATACAAAAGTGTTTGTGCAAATATTCTCGATGACCATTTACAACCTCTTGTAAAATATCTGTTAATAATAACGAATAATCACGTTAGTTCTTACTTGATTGAAACAGGAAAAATTAAGTTTCAAGACTGTTCTGTAACATGTAAATAGTAGACCATGCGTTTCTGTGTCTGTATGAATACATGGTTGTTAATAGGTGTAGCTGTTCCCCATTCTAACTAATCACATGTATTACAATTCTTACAAACTAGGAAACCTTAGAGACATGAAAATTTCATAAGTTTATAAAATACACATTCCTGAGTTAGCTTACCGATGTTTTGCATTGTGCGTATGCGTATTTTCATACATACGAGTATACATGGATACATGGATACCTAGACACATACATACATACATCCACTTTCTTTCTTCCCGCCTATTTTCTCATGGTTACATTTTTAGTTTTACCGCTTTTTCTTCTTCTTCTTCTTCTTCTTTTCTTCCTTTTTTGTTCATTCATATCAATAATTGTACCAACCATATTTCATTAAATATGGTCATGTTTTAATAATCATTAACAATCGTCATCATTAAACCTTATTTCCATCGATAATATATTCTTGTGTTAGATAATTTTTTTTCATGTCATTTTCACAAGAGAACTATAGTTTTCCTAATTCAAGATTAGATATTGTAGAGTAGAGAAGCCTTATAGAATCTTGCTGAAAGTAGTCACTTAGTTTTACATCAACATTACCTTTTTATATTGACGAATTAAGTAGTTAAATATTGACAAAATTATATAATAAACATAATCACTATTCAATAAATGGTACTTCTCTCATTTAAAATCAATCAGAATGAGATAGAATAAAAAATAAGTCAATAATTCATAAAGCAATTTTGTAACATTATTAGAAATC